CGATGCCGGAGCGTGTTCGTGCCGGAAGCAGGCGGATAACAGAAGTGGGCTGTAGATGATCCAGCGTCTCACGAGGACATGACTGTATGACATGATGCCGCCCTCTTCCGCGCCGGAGCCACTCGCGACGATACGGTACTCATACTTGTACTGGGATTGTTCTTCATTGTTATGCTTCCTCGCAAACGTCTTTGCTGTGGGTGGGACCGCCCGGGGGGATTCAAGCCCGCCGCAGAGCACTCGTACAGTACTGGTAGAGGGATGCTGGCCAACGAGGCCAAATGTGAAAGGAGGTTGACGCGATCCCCGTTGACGCGAATGAGCACGGGCCGCCCATGCGCAGTGTTATGTTCTCTTCTCTCCTCTTCTCTCTTCTCATCTCTTCTCTCTTCTCATCTCTTCTCTCTTCTCTTCCAGACATCAGCCTTCGTTCATACTGCCCATTCGCCCTCCTCGCCGTCCGTCCACTCTCGTCCTCTTACCCTCTCATCAGGGCTGCAGGATGGCGTCTCACAAGCGTATCGTGAGTTCTGTGGGTGGCGTCGGTGGGGATTCTGATCATACGGCGCATACAGAGTGTCCCGCTCAACATTCATGACGACCACGTCCTCTGCCCGATCTATAAGCTCCATCACGAGATGATCAAGGACCTCCACCACAACGGTCATGTCGTCCATGGCCTCTTTGCGGATTGTCTCGCCATGGCCAACTCCAAAACCGAAGGGCAGGCGTACACCAACAAGTGGCAAGAGATTGCGGATAATATCAGGAAGTGAGTTTAGTTTCACTTCGCTCACGGGCTTGCCTCACTCACCTATCCCTCCTTGCTTCGTCTTCGTCCCAACCCTGTGCATCCACTTGCGCGCCTGAGCTCCTACTTACATGCACATCTGGAGCCTTCCCGCCTTGCGAGCGAAGATTCTCAATGTCAAGCAAGAGGAAGATGGCAAGGCCGAAGCCCCGGCGCATCTTGTTCGCCTTCTCAAGCCCGCGATTCCTCGCAACCCAGCCCCCGCCGCGGTGGCGACGTACGATCCCGACGAGATGCTCCGGCTCTGGCTTGCTCTTAGGGCGGTGAGTAGTCTTCTTTGTCCTCGTATGGTGTCAGAATCAGCTCATGCAGGCTCAGCGTGGAGAGCTCGAGATCTTCCACCGCCGCACCAAGGGGAAGCACCTTGGGCCGATCATACCCGTGAGTCAACTCCGTACTCATGGGATATTCGCGATGACAGTCCGCAGGGCGTCAGCAGCAAGAAGCGCCCCGTGGACTATTCGCACGAGTTCAGCTTCCATTACTCCCTCTTTGGGTGCGAATACTGCAACGTCGAGGCGTCGGTCCTCCTCTTCGTCCTCCTCAAGAGGAACAAGCAAGTCCAAGTCGGTGGCGACCGCCGCGCAGCCGTGCAGCCCCGCAATGTGGACGCCCATCTCAAGGCCATGGTCCAAGGGTGGCGACCCACCATTGATCAGCTCTGGTAGTGAGTCCAGAGTGGCTGCAGCATGCGCACACAGCGAGCGACTGATCGCCACAGCACCCTCGCCGAGGAGACCGATGTCTACAACTACTATCTCCAGGAGGAGCTTGCGTGGGACCTTCTCAACAAAAAGCTCAAATATAACCAAGCCGACATCGCGGCCCCCAAGGGCTTCAACTACACCTGCCTCAAAAGTAAGCTGGGCCTTGGTCCCACACCGAGGCTTTGACTGAACTCCATGTACAGAGCTCGACGACAAGGCTGCGGCTCAGAAGGGGGCGGCTCCGTGAAGCGGAGTGACACGATACTTATACGTTGCATCGAGAGAGAAGCGCTGTTACATGTCATGCTGTGCACGAATGCAATTCGATCAAAGCACCTATCTGATCATGGCGGAGTCGGCCCTGACGCCTCAAACATCTGCATTCTCCAGCGTCGGGTGGATTCAGGTTGACAACTGTGACCCGCTCCATGGCCCGCTGCTGCGGCTGATGCAGGTCGTGGACATGGGTGTATTGTCATCTGATACTCAATGTTGCACCGGTGGCATCGCTCACGCACCAAATCCCTGCCGTCTCGCTGGATCTATATCTATATCTACAGTATCAACGCGCAATGCACTTACTCGTGCAGAATGTACAATCTTCACATCCTTGCTTCCGTGTCGGCACGCTTTCCTTCCTCGTCAAACTTGTCCTTGTCCCTCATCATCTTAATCAGTCTATCCACATGCGCATCCATCTCGGCGTACATCCGTCTCTGCTTCCTCTCCCAGCGTTCTTCCATCTGGAATCGAATCAGCGCATGACGGTATGCGTGCTCACCCATTGCAAGGTGCCGGACTCCTTGAGGGCTTTCATGAACTCGCGATGGAGCACGATCTGCCGTCAGACAACATTACGGGAGGCCACGTACATGACGATACTACACGATCAGCTCGGTTTGGATCGTTCGGATCGTCCGGGTCAGTCACTCACCTTGTACGCGGTCGCACCTGGCTCGTCCTCCCAGATGTCGTCCTTCTGCTTCGCGTCCACCTTGATCTCGTCCTTCTGCTCCCCGTCCACCTTGATCTCGTTCTTCTGCTTCTCGTCCACCTTGATCTCGTCCGCCTGAATCATGTTCTCGAACTCGTCCTTCTGCTTCTCGTCCTCCTCGATGTCGTCCAGCACCTTGTCCCCGTCCTCGACAGCGGACGTCTGCTCATCCACCTCCACTTCGACATCCTCATTGACGGAACCCTTATCGGCAAGGCTCTCTCGCCAAGTCTGTGCTTGTTCAGATCAACCGACGTCGTATGCGACCGGCACTACTCACGTCCTGCTCCCGCTTCCACTCGTCCGCCAGCTCATTGAGCTGCTAGAGGCGTGTCAGTGGGCGGTCTGCTGCTAAACGTCGTCTCCTGCCGTACGTGAAGGTACCCACCTTCCACAGGATCTGGATTTGCGCGTTCCCGCGCATGTCCTCGGCGGTGCGCAGCCCCGCAGACCTCGCCGTTTCGTCAAACTCCTCCTGCACACGCAACTTGGTACGTCAGCGTGATTGCCTGCACCTCTGTCACCATCACGGGACATGACACCCTCTTCCCGCGATCTCCACCCACATATTCCCGCTCGAGGCGACACACGTGCTCGTTTCGGAGGTACTGGGTCGGCTGCTGGCTCATGGCTGCTGCTTCGGCGTTTTGCAAGGTGGATGAACAAGACAAGAAAGACGAGACGGGACGGTTGAAGGTGTTCTCGGAGCAGATTTTTGTTCCTGTTGATGGAGGGGAGGCTCTGGGTCCTTTGGCTGCACACACGTGCACCTGTACAGCAGTAAAGACAAAGTCAGCAATGTAAAGAGCCTCAAGAGGAGGTCGCAAGCTCCAGGTCACCTTGCGTGCTTGGAGGACTGTGATCGTCCTGTGGAATGGCAATTATCGCAGACAAGAGAGGCACAAGAGCCGTTCCGTCCCACGGCCAATTCGCTTCCAGTATGCATTTCCTCGTATCCGACACACTCTTTGCAGCGGTAGCTCGCTGCAGTCGACCCCGTCCGGGCCGCCACTTTGCTTGACAGGCTGCGCGAGACTTTCTGACTGCGATGTTTGCTTAGCTACTACGATGCTACCTATTGGTACGTAAATCGGAGGCCACGCCACCTGCCACAACCCAACCGACGCAGCCGCCACACTTGACGGGGGTTGACCGGACTAAGCTCGAAAGGCGACTTTACGCTTGCTTCGCTTTGCATTGCCGAAGCCTCCCTCGTAAGCTCATGCTTGTATTCGCTTGAGCCCCGCATTGTACCTCCCCCACTCCAGGGGAAGCTCACGCGGGATACCGTACTTGTACTCATACATGACGGCACTGCCCAGGGTCTGCACTGAGCGAACCGGCTGACCAGGGGACCGCCTGATACAAGTTCGAGTACTCGTGCAGAACGGGACAGGTGCGTAAGAAGGTTCATTGGCTCTGACAAATGGGGAACTGAGTCAGCCACAACGACCTCTGTCGATGGTCGAAGGGCTGGGACGAGACAGTGACAGTAAAAGTGAGGAAACCGATGATGACACCGCCCATTCTACTTCTAACTCAACGATCTTCTGGTAGCAGACCTATCTACTCAGCCTTCGATCCCGCTGAGCCATGAGCAATCAACTCGCTGGCTCTCTCATTTCATCGCTCACCTTCCCTATACCTCCCAACGAGCTCAGGGTCGACGAACAGCACGTACGCCCTCCACATCAGAGGTGGAGCCAGGCAGAGGATCGCCCCGACAGCCCCTCGCACACTCAAGGCCGCGCCTGGCCCTCCTTTCTTTAGCGCCTCGTTCACCAGCAGCGGGATGAGGAGCACCTCTCCCAGGCCCAGAGCGATGTAAGCGATACGTCGGCTCTCGATTCCTGACACCGTGTTCCGAGAGCCGTGTATCAGAAGCGGGGTGAGGCCGCCGATGACCAGTCCGCCGAACAGCCTGGCGAAAAGGACCGACGCGGGGTTGATCTGAGCTGGCCGAGCGAGGAGGAAAGACAAGGCCGCACGGGTGTTGGTGACCAGCGGGATCGTGAAGAGGTTCAGAACCGCTTCGAGCAGGAACGCCCTCCGGACGATCGAACCGGGGTGCTTGGCGTCGATTTGAGCGGTCGTTGAGCTCGCCGGGCGCCGGAACGACATCTTGTCTCCTGCTTTCTCCGGTAAAGGTGCGCAGAGGGGCGAGAAGGTGGCTGATTGTACGAATACTCACCTTGTACGCGATGAAGATCGTTATGCTCTACAGAACAGCCCCTGACGTCATCCACGGATTCGATCTCATCGTACTCGCACCGTATGAGTACTCAAATGAGTACCGGACAGTGCGCGTCGACGTGAACGTGACTCGCATCGATGAGCGGCTCAAGGCTTCAGCCATGGATCCTGAGATCGTCCCGCTGTGATCAGCCGTCTCAGCACGAGAGTGCAAGGGTGTTAGACTCTCCTCGCACCTCAGAGACACGACGAAGCCACAGTGAGAGGTGTCAAAAAGTCAACCTGCAAAAGATAATGCCTCCTAGCCGGATCGAACGACTGACCTCGACATTGTATCACAACAGATCTCAAATCTGATTGATGATTACTAGTGTCGCGCTCTACCGCTGAGCTAAGGAGGCCGATGTTTTAACAGTAGAAAAGACATCTAAGTAATGCAAACATGGAGAGGGGGGCTGACAAGATGAAAGAGACTTGGAAACGATGTTGTGGAGATGTTGGAAGGTGCCACGAACAGAGTGCCACGAACAGGTGAATTGCTTCCGTTGAAGCGCGCCTGACAGTTTCTGAGTGTGGCGGTGTGGCGCGGCGGTTCCCGCCGTTGCACTCACACCCCCAGTATTCCCAAGCAGCACCGTAGAATCGGTTTCTACAGTATCTGAGTGCACGTCACGGTGCCCGCCAAACTCAGTTCGTGGATAGGTTTCTATTCAATCGAGCAGCCTACGACCAGGCGTCTGTACATATGGCATTCAAGCGAGTCACGAGTATACGAAATCGCGACTGGTCTTCATTCTTCAGATTGTCAGACATCCGCGCTATTGGCTCGCCTTCTCGAGATTTGTGTCATGGTGGTCCGCATGCGCCCGGGCGTTCCAGGTGCCAGGCGAATTCCTATTTCCCCCTTGACTCCGGGTTTTGGCCATCGGGGCCACAAGTAGCGATGTTTGCTCGGGGACCCTCGCCGAGCGAGGGTCCATCCATCGCCGGGCGCGTGGGTGAGCCAAATGTTACACAGTGGAGCTCGGCTTGAGTAGATCTTGATCCTTGTCTGAAAGGTGGATGCGCATCATCGCAGAACCTTTTCTTCACCTGCTGAGCGTCCGCCAAGAGAGTCAGTTAAGCCTGCCTCATAAATACCAGTGATTGCGGGAAGTATTGAAAAGTCGAGCTGTCAGTAGCGTTGCCCACGATGTTTAGGTTTGTGCAGACCAACTCCATCTGTGCTGATGCTGTCAGCGCAGCTGCCTTGCCCGGTATCCATCTCAGTGACCACTGTAGGGGCTCGTCCCGGCAACCTCACTTGGACACAACCGCATGGTTTCACATGCTCGGCAGCCATCTGTAGTGTACAGTACCATGTCACATGCCACACTCGATGGGATGCCGCTCGTCAAACACGCCATGGATCACGGCAGCTTGTGGATTGCCCTCGGGCTGTCTTGTGTTATCACCCGATGACGTTGTGCTTGCACTACCGTGCAGTCATCAGATCGCCGCTGTATGTGTGTGAGCGTACACCTACGCCTGAGCAATTCGAACGTGTTCTGTACAAGATCTCGGGGACTTTCTGGAAGAGCAACACGGCTGAGAGGGACGAGGTGAGGGGTGTATTGGGAGAGTTGGGCTTTGAATCAGCTTCTGGGCGCTCCGCCCGTGGGAGATGGGACCTACAGTAACAAGGAATCTTGCTCGGCTATAAGTATTTTAGCCCTTGCTTACACCTAATTGCACTCATTTCGCCAGGCGAGCACAAAGGCCCGTCCAGTGGTCATTTCGCTGAAAACCTCACTTACTGATCATACTGTAGATTCCCTCCTCTCTTACCCCCGGTCGACTCCAGGTCGATCCTCATCAGCTTCTACAGTGTTGCAGTGGAAGAGCAGGGCCACTCGGGGCTCATCTAAGTGTTCTACGGTCACATCTATTATATATTGGCGTACTTTTCAATCTTATCGTCTATAGCCGGGCGGCTTGTATATGGATACACGCGCAGTTGCTCGGTTAGTAGTGGAACTGGTACACCCTCGCTATACCTATTCGTTCACTTGGAACGAGCCGATCTGACCACTAACCAGCGGTGCAGGGCGAGCCGAGGTGCGCGGTACAGCGTCGTCGGCAGACGACTTTGAGCCGTAGCGGCGCGCAGCTGGCTCGTTGCATGGGCGCCGGGGAGCGCATCGCCGGGCAACGAGCTACATCGGGAGTTTTGACAGTGTACCGGGAGGACAAAGGTATCGGCTTTCAGACTTAAGATCATGCTCACCACTTGTTCTAGGACGGGCAGTACCACAGTATTGACACCGTTGTTCACCGGCCGAGTGGCGTGCTTGCCGTGCCTGACGATCATTTTCCATTCGGCGCCGGGCCGGTCCAATTCGTGGTGAGATGGTGACATTTGAGTGGCGACGACGAATGTGGCGCCCGATGGCGTGATCGTTTTTTCCACTCTACGTTGACCCCACAGCCCACAGCATCTATTACTCAGATCGATCCTTCTCACACCTCTCTTTCCTTCAAAACTCCACCCCTCGTTGCGAGGCCCATTCCGCTCCTTCCCCCCTCACCATCCCTCCCTCACACTCCTTCGCCATGTCCCCCATCGCCCTCACCTCCTCCACCACCTCTCCTCCCGGTGTCCCCGCGAAAAAATCCCAGATCGCCGCGGCGAACCTGGACAACTCTCTCGTTCTCGATGGCACCCAGACCCCTTACTCCACCACTTCCACCGCTGTCTCCGAGTACGACGGCAAGGGTTCGGGCGCGGCGTCGCCGATCCTTTCGTCTCCTCGAGCCAAGGCGGTGGTCGACGCCGCGCTCCCTCCGATCGAGCCGGTCCAGGGGGATTACTTTGGTACCCTCCTCGCTTCGTCCGCTCCGGTTCCCTCCACCAAGCCCGGCGCGACGGTCTACGGCTCTGCGATCGACGTGCTGGAGGCGTTCGCCGTGAAGCATTCCAAGAGCACGTTTGTGTACGACGATGCCGTCGAGCTGGGATTCGGACGCAGGTTGGCGAGTTGGGACGGAAGCAGCGTGTTCCCCGTGCAGGCGAGGGAGGGCGCTGGGCTCGAGCTGGCCGGGTACGCCGCCAAGGCTTCCGGCAAGGTCTCTGTCTTTGCCACGACGTCCACCCGCCTCGACCTGGCTTCGATCCGAGGGGATGTCGTCGTGCACCTCGCCACGACCGCCGCTTCGGAATCGCTCGAGATGGTCGACTCGCTCTTCGCCCCCGGCGTGATCAAGTCGCTCACGTCCCTGCCCGACGACTGGGAGGTGGTTTTCTCGTCGGCTGATGAGATTGTGTCCAACGCGGCGAAGCTGTACGCGGGCAAGGGCAAGGTCGTCCACGTCGTCGAGTCGACTTTTGCCGGTCGCGAGGTTGCAAAGTACACCTTCCCGGCTGTTGAGGCCGGTGACATCGGGTTCACCCTCAGCAGCGACGACGAGGACGTCTCTGTGGTTCCATCTGGCCACGCCCGGGTCTCCGGCGCGGTTCTCCGACTCAACACGCTCACTCCTTCACCCGAGGCCCTCGCCGCTGCTCTCGCGGGCAAGACCGTCTCCGTCATCGGCGGTACCAAGACCGACGCCGACGCGCTCAAGGCGGTGATCCTGTCCACGATCTACTCCGCTCCCACCTCGTCTCACGCGGTTCTCCCCACCGTCAAGTCGGTCCTCCTCAACGCGGCGCAGGCGACTGATTCCGGCAAGACCGTCTCCTTCTACACCGCCCAGTCGCCCCTTCCCGAGCTCCTCGCGCACATCTTCCTCTCCTCGCCGAGCATCAACACGCGTCTGGCTCAGTTTGGCTCGGTCTCCACCCGCGGCGTCAAATCGGTCCTGGCTCTCGCCCAAGGCGACGCCGCGCCTCTCACTCCGAACCACCGCAGCGACGTCGCGTGGGTGTCCGACGCCAACCTGCTCAAGTCCACCGACGTGCTCGGCTCCCTCGTCGACGGGGGTATCCTCGTGCTGAACCTCCCCTGGACCGAGGAGGAGCTTCCGGTCAAGCTGACCCGCTCCGAGATCGCGTCGATCAAGTCGCGCAACATCCGCGTGTTCCTCCTGGATCTGGGCGCGTCTCCTCTCAACCCCATCCGCGAGACCGTCGCGTTCATGCTGCTCTACACTGGCACTGCCAAGCTCGGCGCGGGAGTCCGCCGCGTGCTCGACGCGTTCTACTCGAACAACCTAGGCCGCGACGAGATTGAGGATGCCCAGGCGGGTCTTATCGAGGCGGATCCTTCGACGTGGACCGTACCCGAGCTCGAGGAGGGCAAGGTGGAGAAGCTCAAGTCGGCGTGGGAGTGGGACGCGATCCCCGGCGTCGCGCTGCACCTCGACGAGGACACCCAGCCCCAGCTCGGCGCATCGGATCTCGCCGCGAGGCACCTGCTCTTCCGCGAGGCGTACTCCGCCGACGCCGACGCCGACGCCGACGTGTCCGCACTCCGCCCCTCCACCGCCGACGAGACCTTCCTCGTCACCGTCACTGAGAACCGCCGCCTCACCCCTGCCACCTACGACCGCAACGTCTTCCACCTCGAGCTCGACACCGCTGGCACCGGGCTCAAGTACGAGATTGGCGAGGCGATCGGTATCCACGGTTGGAACGATGCCGACGAGGTGTACGAGTTTTGCTCGTGGTACGGCGTCGAGCCGGATGCGCTGGTCTCCTTCTCCAACCCGCTCAAAGCCGGTACGATGGAGACGCGTACCGTGTTCCAGCTGCTCCAGCAGAACATTGACCTGTTTGGCCGACCGGGCAAGGCGTTCTACGCCGCGCTGGCCAAACTCGCAAAGTCCAAATCCGACGCGATGACCCTCAAGTTCATCTCCGCTCCGGAAGGCGCCGAGCTGTTCAAGCGTCTCGCCGAGCTGGAAACGGTTACGTTCGCCGATGTTCTGCGCCGGTTCAAGACCGCCCGGCCCAGCCTCGAGGAGCTCGTCGGGCTCGTCCCCGAGATCAAGCCGAGGCACTACTCGATCGCGTCGAGCCAAAAGGCCGTCGGCGACAAGGTGGAGTTGCTCATCGTCACGGTGGACTGGATCAACTCGAAGGGTGAGTGCGCGTTTGCTTGCTTCACTCGTGCATCGCTGACATCTCCATCTCAGGTTCCCCGCGCTTTGGCCAATGCACCCGGTACCTCGCCGCGCTCGCCCCCGGCGCCAAGGTCACCGTGTCGATCAAACCCTCCGTGATGAAACTCCCCCCGGACAACCGCCAGCCCATCATCATGGCCGGTCTCGGTACCGGCGCCGCGCCGTTCCGCGCATTCATGCAGCACCGAGCGTGGCAGCGATCCCAGGGCATTGAAGTGGGCCCGCTCGTCTACTATTTCGGCTCCCGATACCGATCCCAGGAGTACCTCTACGGCGAAGACATCGAGGCGTATGTCGC